CCCAGCAGTCCCAAGGAACATGGCAACATCTGGAAGTCTCCAGAGGGCTTTCAAAGGAACATCATGCCAAACACTTTCCACCCAGCTTTGCACACTGGATTTTAAAAGTCATGAATCTGGATGCAATGAAAAAGCTGCATCAATGTGTGGATCAGGTATGCTTTCATCCTTTGGGAAACAAAAAAACATTTATAGTGAAGCAAAAAAACTTCCATTATGAGACAGAACTGATGCTGAGGAGCCAGGGTCACCTGTAGGATGCTGTGGGAAAAGGAGAACGAGCAAGCACTTTGCTTCAGAAAGAACAGGAGAAGCTACAACTGCAAAGACACGTTGCTTCGTTTGGGCCAGGAAGTTCAACCATAAAGAGGAAGGGTAATTAATTTCTACAGCAGAGCTCTGAGAGTTCGCAGTAAATTCTCAGATGGTCAGAAACGAAAGACTGTCAGGAATTCTCCCATTTTGAAAGAAGGCAGCATTGAACATAATATCTGAAAGAGAAGTCTGATGGAAATGAGCACAGCAGTGTGTTTTTTTTAGCCTAGAAAAGCGTTTGCAGTATGTCAAGGCTCAACACATGGCAGAAGGTCAAAGCCGATTCTGAGAACTCAGTAACAATAGAGAGTCATCACTGGACACAGGTGCTTCCTGAATTGATCTTGCAATTTGGCTGTTTCCAATTAAATATGAAGCAGCTGTGGCCCCTTATCTGCTCAAGTCACTGGAATCCATCTAACTTTCTCCCTTCTCTCTTCTCTCTACAACCCAGACAGCTCTGCTCTCCAAAGAGCCTGCCAAGGACAGCCAATTGGTCTGAACCCCAGAAATAAAAACTGCCTCTTATTCATCTCAGGGCAATGCAATGAGATACTTCTCCTTTCCCAATGCTTTTATTTGGGGACAACAGCAGAGGCCAACAAAATAGGAAGAAAATGCAAATACCGATGTTTCTCAGGCAAATAGATTCAGGACACCTTCCATCAGGCACTGAATTAAATACATGAAGCCAATGTGAGGACAAGTCCTTAAGTGTTTACAGCATGGTTCTGCATTCTGAGTACAAGAGAGTATTTTTTTACAGAAAAAGATTGAGTTTTAAAGAAGGTATTTTCAATAGTCAGCTAGTGGGGTTACAGATGGGACTCAGAAAAGTCAGCATAGAATCACCAGGTGGAATAACAGCTGATAGGGCATTTCAGAAATCCATCAAGTGAGAGCTCCCAAATACCTTACAGCACCTAAATGTACTTTACACAAACTTTTCCTTTCCAGTTCACTCATTCTGCAGCAATGAAAACCCCCCATGTTTTGGCTATCTCTTCCAGCCTGCCGAAGTCTCACTTTACTTTTCTCCAGCACCTTAAGAAAGTAAGAGCTTGGCTCAAAATTGTGCTTGTCACTAGACAAAAGAAAAATGAAACTCTAGGTATGCACCTTGGTTGTCTTCAAGATGAGCCATTTAATAACGTGTGCTAAGCATTCTGGACACGAGATGCTAAAAACCACCTGGTTTTCCCCAACCTGAATGTAACAAAGCTGAGACAGCTTTGCTTTTGTGCTGTTCAGCTCTTCTCAAGGCTTTTCTGAAACATGGGAACAATTTCTTTCTAAAGAGTATTCTCTTGTGCATTCTGAAATTGAAATGGATGGTAGAGGTTAAACTTGATTCCATGCTACCCCACCTAATTGTGACAGTAATGCTTCATAACGCTCAATATTGAACAATGCAGTTCAGACTACTGATCATTTCAATCATAACAGTAATTATACTACTGTAGGAACAAAGAGCTAAAAAACAAACAAATAAACAAAAACAACCAAACAAACAAAAACAAAACAACAACAACAAAACACCCAACCAAACCAGCTTTTTTCTCATTAAGTAGGAAGTAGCACTGGTGTTTTGCTAAGGTTACTTTCATCATTTCAAAAAACAAGGCTTCTGATTTAACCTGAGAAAGACCATCTAGCTTCATGCCACTTCATGTCACGAAGCAGCCAAAGTAATCAGCCATAACCAACCTTAGTCTAGATATGATAGACCTCTGGAAGTTCCTGCATGCCAGGTCTAATCATTCCTCTTGGCTTTTCTGGGCACAATATGTGCACAAGAATACACACAAGAATATAATATACACAAGAATTTTGAATTCCCTTGGCCAAAACATAAGCATGCAGCTGTTTTTTTTCTTCCTCCACTCCTTACATTTTTTCCATGTGCTGTCCACAGCTCCCTCCTCAACTCTCTGCATTAGAGCCCAGATGACCTTCCCTGAAAACCATCTGATTTTTCAGCTGCCTGTGCCAGAATGCAATGCAGTAGGCTGGACTCCTTTACAAAGCCTACTTCAAAGTAAAGCAGAAATGTCTCTATGGGTTTAAGCAGAGGAGAGAAAGACGTCTTGTTTCTTGTGGAGCCATACATGAAATAAGACAAAGCCACCTGCATCTCAGTGATTTATAAAACCGTTTCTTCCTTCAAACAGCTCAAAATCTGTTTTGAGCTTTTACGTGTTTATTCAGTGTATACATAGGCTTAGTGTAGCTAATACCTCAAAAACATCTCCTCCTGTGAGCCCTTGTAGTTATTTTCAAATTTCATCTTTTAAAGAGGAAGGAGAAAAGCAAAAAAAAGAACAACAGAAGGAAAAACAAAAATGATCAGACCATAAGAATACATACAGATTCATTAACAGAACATCTCATCTTTACAGAGTACAACTGCTATTTACTACATACAACCACTATGCCCTCTCTCAACTCAGTCCAATACTCACAAATGTCAACATATGTCAAATATGCACATCAATATTGTAAATAGGTTGGTCTGAAAGTAACGCCTCCTATATATTTCCAAGGAAAAAATGACAAAGAACCCAGTAGCACTATTTGATAGAGCAAATTCTCAGCTACAGATCATTATTTTTCAACACAGTCACCACCACTAGCTATGCATTTTTGCCAGTGATGCACACGAGCCTGCATGTCACGCTCATAAAAATCTGTATGGTTATCCAGAACATGCTTTGTCTTTCTCTCTGTTGCAACTGCAGAAATGCACCACCTACCACCTCACTGTACTAACATCCACTGTTTGGTTTCCCATAAACATTCAGCAAGCATTGATGTATGTCAATGAGTGCAGTTTCTTCCACATGGAGTGCCATATGGTGACAAAATGTAACAGAATAATGGTGGGAAGGTTCAGCCTCTACTGCCATGCCACCAACATCCACCTCTGACACTGGAGGCCAAAGTAATAAAACAGGAGGTATTACTTTCAGAGCAGCTCTTGTATGTATGTTGACACATTTTCCCCAGGAACTGACAACTTCAGGAAAGACCATCATGGAAAAGACATGTTGCTGCCAAAGTTGATATACACAGAGAAACCCCCACATTGCAAATTGGTCAGCATTAAGTAGTGGCATTGTTTCACTTTTCCTGCCCAATCGTGTTCCATCAAGCCTGTGATGACTCACATAGGCATATCCCAAGACCATAAAGAACAGAGACTGTTTGGGGGTCTTTCTCACACTTCTCAAAGACTTGCAAGCAGCCAATAAATTCAGAATTGTCACAGTTTTCAGCTTAAATACTTTTCATGATGATACTTTCAGTTGAATGAAAATTACAACGGAAAATACCTCCCTGAAAGGAAAGCTTTTGTCAGAAATGCAGGAACTGCGTCCCTGCAGGAACTGTAAAACTCAGCTGTTGTTATTGATTGCTTGGATTTTGTTTTGCTGTATTTTCAGACACAGGCTTTTTGATTCATTTTAGCCAAAATTTTAAGCTCCAGGCAGTTAAGGCGTTTACAACTCTTCCTGTGTCACATTGACTTTTCCTCACTGTCACAAGTGCTTCTTAAACCTCCTCTGAATATTTGCTCTGCTTTGTGTTAGTTTTTTTCTTCCACTTCTTCCCATTGTTATTTAAGACTAGGCTTCTATGGCTCAACATATTCTAAGAATCATTTAGGATAAATGTTCTGTCAAAGGCACTTATACAGTTGAGCCATATTATATTCTATATAAATCATTGTGACTGTTTCACAAACAAGGCTGAATCTGACAGATTTTTCCAAGTACAAGAAACATAGCTTTTTCAGACATGATCTCCTAACCCCCTAGTTAATTCCACCATCCTGAAACTCGCCTCATATTTGGACTAAGTCATGCTGGCCTCCCCAGGAACAGGACCATGCTGCTAACGTTTTATCCTAATGAGGATAACAATCCTATGATGGGGAAATCTCAGCCAATTTTTATCTGCGGATTGCAGGGAAAAGGTTAACTTTGCAAGCCTAACAGTATCTCAACACCTCTTCCAATTTTATTTTCTAAGATATTCATAACCTCAAGCAAACAAAGACATCATCTGAACTGTCAGGAAAGAGAAGTCTATGGAAAGAAGGAAATCTGTTTCAGTAGCTGAGGACAGCTTTGTGCTGTACTTCAGCTGATACTAATGAAGATTGCCCAGAGCCTGGTATCAGTCTTCCTTGCCTGCTTTACACTTGATCAGATGGATGGAGACGCTTGGGGAATATTCAAACACTTTTTACCTGTACAGCTCACTATCCAGAACATAAGATGCATCTGCTACATTCAACACAGTCCTTCAGGCAAAACTGAAATCCCACCTGAAGAAGATAGCCTGACAGAGAAAGGAATTTGGTGGCACTTCACTGTTCTGCACTGGAGAAGCAACCAAAACCCATGGAGAAAAATAAATTATGGGGCAGCTGCGATAGGAATAATGTTCACAAGTGAAAGGAACAGCCACTGAAGCTCCCTAATTTTCCAGACTCATATTATGGATGCTTTATAGCACAGTTTTTGTCTGGAATTTGGGTGGGAATGGAAGGTGCCACATCCCCTCATCCACTTCCTTTACTAAGGCAATAATCTCGCTTCATTACAGAAAAAAAAAAAAAAAAGGAGAAGAAAAAAAGATAAGGAAAGAAAATGATTAATAATCTGTGGGCAGCTGCTTACTTTCCAATCGGTTGTCCAGGAGGGGTGTGCTCCACTTCAAATCCTGCTTGTCTCAGTACATCAATCACAGTGTTGTTACCCAGGAAGTGACCTAAAATATAGGTAGAAAATAGCACTGTCAATCAAACTGCTCTGCTCACTCATTTTATGTTCTCCTTTTGAACAACAGGGTTGGGATACAAGGTTACCAGAAGCTAAACTCCAGCTCTAGAAGCAGGAAAGGCACATTATGCTATTAATTGAGGTGGCGATGAGCAGGATAACAAACAGCATACAGCCTGATATGATCTTCTTCCATCTTGTTTCTCTCTCCCTCTCCTCACATGACCAAGGATGCGTATAAAACAAAGCCTAGATAGATTCTTTTTTAATATTACTTTATCGTACAGGAATTTGCAAACCGCTAACATGGCAACTTTTATTACGTGCATTGACTAAAGGATCTTCTAATGTGGGTATCTGAATGATTCAGCAGTGGTGAAAAGAATATTGCTTGGGCACTGACTCATGAATTGGAACAACTTACACCCTCAGATGTGTACCCTGCCCATCATCATTTATGGGCATCTGCTTATGAAGAAGCTCCAAAGTTGCTCTATTTATGGCTCGTTGCCTAAAATGAACATGGCTCAGAAATTGCTTGATCAACCTCTCAGCTGAGTTGGGAGGGGTCAGGAGGTAACTTCATCTCTTCCCAGATGAGGAGAATTAGTTTTGTAAATCAGTGCACTTTGGTGAAAGTGTAAAGGTTGCATTCCTATTCACAGAAGTAACAAAGAGCCCAATAAGTACTGCAGCACGTATGGGCCTTGAAAAAGTTTACTTAAGGGAATTCTATACACTTGAGTCTGAACCAAATCCTACTGGAGTCAATGGGAATCCTCAAAGGACTTTGGGCACAGACTCAATAAGGCGGTGTAATTCCTCCAAAGCTTTTAACTTATTGTCAGAGTTTCACACTGTTTTCAGGATGGGTTTGAGGTATAAAGCAAGGACACAAGAACTCTACTTATATTTAAGACCACGTAGTACAGTAACCTGACTCCAGCTGTGACTCACTGTAAATAGTAAATATGTAAAAATACACAAATGAAAGAGACTAGGAAATAACAGAACAGTCCTCACCCATTACATCCTTTAACTTCTATCTCTGCATGGCTGGGTGACTCATTTATAGCCAGGTCAACACGTCTCACTGCCAGCTCTGAATAGACCAATTCTCTATGAATGCCCTCAGACCTCTGCCTCCATCTACTTTTTGCCCCATGACTTCTTGCAGCAGCAAGTTCCACCACGTCCCACATGTAGAAGTGCACTCCTCTGGTTTGCTTAGAGCTTGCTGTCCAGAGGGAGTACGCACACCTTAAGCACAGGATAAATATTAAATATATATTTAATACAGAGATGCCTGTAACTAACTATCTGCCTCTAATTCAGAATCAAATGGTTTTCACAGAGAAAAAAACAAGGCAGGCAAGACATGCCTGAGTCTCTCTCTGTCATGTAGTCATCGGAAAAAACTGGAAAGAAAATTCTTTAATACCGATCAATACCACTATATGATGACTTAATGTAACTGTGAGCAGAGTCAGCCCTAGCACATTTCACCCATGCTGTATAAAGTCACAACGAATGTAAGGGTAATTCGGTCTCCAGTATTCCTTAAGCCTGCTTCGCTCTGCTTACACTGCCAACAAGGGCGCTAATTCGCATCAGTTGTGAGAATGATGTAGTTGTACGACTTTTAGCACAACTTGCAAGGACTGGTAAGTGCTTTTAGCCAAAAGACATTTCTTTAAATGATTAAACATACATTTGCAGAGCTCTAACGTGTTCCAGAATTCCTCCGCTTCTTTTTAAGACTACTCAAAATTTGATTTTCCCTTAGCTTACTTATAATAAAAGCCAAAGGAACAGAGAGCAGTCCCAAAAATGTTTTACACACCCTCAGGATTCAAGAAATGAGACATTTGTGAGTGATTAACTGGATTTGATCATATCCTGTTTTTTTATGTAGTGGCCAAAGCAAACAACGGCCACAGTTCTGTCACTGGCAAGTGACAGTGAGGAATCAAAACCAACAGCGTCAAGGTCAGGGACCTTTCTGTCCAAAATCCAATGCTCTCCTTTCCCTGAAGCAGTTTTAAATGGCAAGAGATTTCTTAATAGAAATAAGTTGTCCTAGATCCAGCAAACCTTTGACATCAGGACAGTACCCAAAAGAACCCAATTTTAACTGCTTTAAATCCAGGGGAAAAAAGGGAAACTATGCAATAGTTACAATTCCTCATCCACTAAATGGCAGGCCTACACCAACTTCAGCTCCCCCAGCAAAACATGCAAATCCCTTTCAAGCCAAGCATGAGACTGAAAGTGACACCTCCTGGCCTCCTGCTCCTGCCCATTTTGTTGAGACCATGATGACACTGGGATCTGCAGCACATGACAGCAGAGGAAAACAGACTCTCCAGCACCTTTCCCACTCTAGCTCTGGATGCAGAAATTTCTGAAGTGCAAAGGACCAGGAATATGTGGAAGAGTAAGGTAAGCTCTGTGGAAAAAGGTGGCACCTGGGAGATCCCACGCAGTTTGGTCAAAAGAAATATGAAAAGTCGCTTGCCATTGTTGTAGTTCCAAGGTTAAAAGAATTCTTGGAAGAAATGTTTTGGCTTTCTTCCTGCTGATAAGTCTATCTTGTTTTAAAATCTAGGATGACTTTCAATATGAGAAATGTCTTACATAAAACAGCTCCCTATGGTCACATACAAGTTGAGATAAGCATTGATGTTGAATATGGACAACACTACAGTACTTTTATTGGCATGCAATAAAAAAGACATTAACCTATGGATGTGAAGCACTTACATTCAGCATGGATTTGGTCAGTAAGAAGTCCCTGCCTCCGGCTGCCCATATGTACAAACACAATATGTAATAATTGCCAAAATAGTTACAACATCAGTGGATTTCATTTATATATACTCAAATTTTATGTGTACTTCATATGTGCATATGTATGAAAATGTGTGCGCTTCTACTAAAAACTTCAAAAAAAATTCTCTCCCTGGACAGAAAATTTCATTCCAAAAGGTATTGAGAAGTTTTTGCATCCAGAGGTAGATCAGATATCTTAGAGGCACAGAGTAATGCTCTTGCTTCTGTGTCTCTATTCCCCTCTTCACTGTAAACCTGCTGGATAAACTATTCTTGCAGTGGTAACTAAATTCACCTTGACAGCTGTTGAAAGCTGGATCCAAGAGGTCAGAACACTGCCTGCCTTGGGAATTACATGCGAGTATGGGAATAGGAGAGAAAGCAGACAGAAAAGATTTTTCTAGATAAGAATTTGAAAGTACCTGAGTATGAAGATATACAAGAAAGCCTCTCCCAATCGTTTAATATAAAAATAAGAAAATAAAAAATAATTTCTTCAAATAAAATACAATATTGACACAACAGTCCATTACGTATTTATACTCAAGATATTTGTGATGATACGAGGCAAATACTCCGAAGTATTGGAACAAAATATCTAGTTAACTATTTGCAGGTTTTCATGCATTTACATTTAACATTTACTCTGTTATGCACTTCAGCTCACCAGGAAAGGTGTGAATGCAGTCTTCCTGTCCCCTAAGGATAAGCAAATATTCCTGAGATTGTCTTGAGGACAACCCACTAGTGACAAAGAGTTTTATTGGAGTTTGAATACAAACACAGAGGACAACTCACAGCATTTGCTGTGAGCTTCTATGTTTGACTGAGGGCAAGATTTTTGTCTCCTTTGTCTGGTGTTTTGTGTTTCTGAGACAGAAGATCTATGACTGGACACACTGGATGAAGACGTTACACAGTATGGTTGTTAACATTAATCAAACGTCTCCCATCCCCATTTTTTCTTTTTATTTAAGAACTGTGCTTTGTACTACACAAAATAGATGCACGTAATGCATTTCCTTGCCTCCCCAAGGTTTCATTTTTCAATGCAAGGAAGAAAGAATAAGCCACTTTGCTACAAACAACAACAAAAGCTAAACAGGTAATAGAAAATGCAAGGTTTCCATAAAGTGTGTGCATGTAGGCACACTCCTGAGAAAGTAGATTTTCCTCCTCTTTGAGCAGAATGTGCTGGCGTCAGGAGAAAAGTATGCTTCTCAGCCAGATCTAACAGTTGCAACTGAGCATTTTCTAATTGACCTTTGAAACTAAAGGTCCCCTTTACCATTTGGGACATCTTGGTGACCCCATCTATAGCATAATCAAGCATAAGGTTGCATCCTTCAAAAGTTAAATGAACTTGGGTGTTCCTACACTCGTAAGTACAATCTTGTTTGGATGGAAGAAGCAGGAAAAATGTTTCTAAGCAAATACTATGTGCTTTATCTAGATCTCAAGATCTCCCACAAATTACTTTGTCTCTTCGTTTCACAATTCTTTGTTCCATGGCTTAGTGGGATAAAGGGGTACAAAGGAGCAGGAGATAATTCCCTCACAAAGGACCTCCATTGCTAGAGCCTTTGAAGTTGTGCTAAAAAAGCCTTGCTAGCCCATTAGCTGACACACAGCAGAAACCTGAACTGTTTCCATGCACACTACAAGCAGAGCTATTTTCTGCACAATTAGTCATAAAAAGGGCCAATGTAAACTGTGTCGGGAGGTCTCAATTCTTTACATTCTCCACACAGTGAATCAGACGTTATGTATAACGTTTTGTTGCCATTTAGACCTCAGGCTGCCTTGCAATCAGAAGACGGCTGTCTCTATTCCCATTCCTCTCTAAATGCTGATTTTCAAGGCCCTTGGCACCATCAGTATGTTTATGGTACCTCGACTTCACAATAATTAGTGAAGGCAGAAATGCAAATGTCAGAAGCTGCATGTTCACAACTGGGACAAATATTTATCCATTACTCTGCTTGCTGCCTCAAAAATGATGCTATTTCTCTTATTCTGCAATGGTTTAACTGAATATTTTGGAGGTTGAGTGATGAAGGTGTCAAGAAGAGATTGTGGCAAGGAGCTGCAGCAAACAGCTCAGGGAATCGGTTTTATCTGGATTTATCCTACAGTATTTGACTCCAAACCAATGGG